GTCGAACGTCGTGCATGTGTGGGGGCCTTGGGTGTTGGGTACGTGCTTTAAAACATGTCAGCACATGTCACATTCTAACTAAGCAGTTCATGTCTCTGCAGGGATTCGGACCTATTCCTGTTGGATACCCGAACAATCTGGGCTGCAGAGGAAGGCTGGCTGGTGTTCGATATCACAGCGACCAGCAATCACTGGGTTCTCATCCCCCAGCAGAACCTGGGCCTGCAGCTGGCTGTGGAGAGCGGTGATGGTAAGTGGTTGGCTTGCTAAAGGCCAATAAATGTGGAATGCTTAATCAATTATGATTGGATGGTTGTTTCTGTTTTTAACCCGTCACCTGCATTTTCTGTGTGTAGCTACACTCCAGTAATTAAAGGCCTAGAAATACATACACTGAGTGGCCAGATTATTATGACCACCCCATCAGTACTTCGTTGGGCCGCCTGGTGACTCCACGAGATGATGAAAGGTGATGCGAGGAATCTGACACGGCACTGTTGCCCTTCTGTTGTTTTGTACCAGTCTTGCCCCTCCCCCGTTCTGCCCTAACATTGACTAGTCGCTGACGGCCACAATTCGCACGTTCAGACCCAGATTTTCGGCTGACAGTCCGGTCTTTAAACACTTTAACAACAGCTGCTCTTGAACATGTAACGAATTCTGCTGTTTTGCTGATACTCGCTCCATGGCTCCGAGCGCCAACAATCATCCCACGTTCAACGGCTGTTACATCGCGTTGTTTCCCCGTATCTTCAGAAACAAATCAGTTCTACTGTCGTGGTAACCAACCTGCTTCCCTATTTATAATGGTCTGGCCCTCTAGCAACTTCAGCGCCAAATTATAGCTAATTTGCCTACAAACGTCAGGTGGTCATAATAATCTGGCCACTCGGTGTATAGGCACTGTCTACCTGTGACCCTGCTGAGGACAACTCTGTCTGCGTTTTCCCCGGCTGGACTTCTGAACAGCTCTACCTTATGTTATTGAGATTAGGAGAGAGGAGGAGTTCTGTAGTCTATCCAAAGAAAACTCAGACAGGCCTGACAACACTGCTTGGGGTTTCAGTGTAGCATATGCAGCTGTTGTCATTACAGGAAGTTAGGAGCTCACTGGGCTTCTGACATCATCAACAGGTATTTGTCTGTACCCCCAGCATTTCATGGAGGATAAAACATGGGGAAATGTGTATGTATCGCAGGTAATTGATGAATGTCTTTTTTTTTTATTGTGCCAAGACATACTTATTAAGTGTCTGAAAGCGTATTACCCCTGTGTACGTGTACTGCATGCAGGATGAAACATTTTGAGGCCAGTTAAGTTGGTTTTAGGTGGAGCCAGGAAACCAGAGGCATCCTCCCAGTATAATGTCACTTAATTAATCTAGGTCACCTCCCACGCTATTAGAGACGGACAGTCAGATCATCATTCACCCGGGAACGTGATATTCTGCTTAATCCCGGCTCGCTGAGGACGCCTCACCCTTTGAGAGGCTGAAGAAGCTTGAAATGTCCTGTTGTGAAGTGCCAACTTCTTTCAGGAGTAACCATAACACACTTAAAGTTCTTAAAGGGAAATGTATCAATGGCTGCATTAGCCAAGATGGGTTTTGCAATGAAAGTGAGTTCCATTGCAGCCATTTGCAGTGCATAGGGTGAGGTCTTCGGCCTCCTTCCACATTATTTGGTGCCGAGCCTCCTCCCAATGTTCAGGTGCTTTTTAGCTGGGCTGTAGTGGGCTTAGGGAAAGGGCGGTGTCTGGACCAGGGAACACCCTAGCTGAAATTCAAAGCTTCTGGGTCACAGCAGGGCAGCCACATGCATTAGATCCTTGGTTCTCAACTGGTGGGTCGTGACCCAAAAGTGGGTCGCGACCCCGTGTTCAGTGGGTCGCCGTGTGCCTTCTACTTTTCTAGGTGAGAGTCTCTCAGCCTCCTCCTAGCGCAGCATTGTCAGTTCTCATGCAGCACAGCCATTCAGAATGTGCTTCCTGGCACCGAGTGCCAGCTTGAGGTGGGGTTGGCTGGAGCTATGGCCACGAGGGACCTCCATCCATACGTGCATTGCTTACAGCTCCTTCACGTGCCAGAGGTGCCTGGACCGGGGTGACCTCACATTCTGGCTCCCGTCACCTCTACAGGGCGCGCAAAGGGAGTCACAGCACAGCATCCCAGCACTGGACCCCAGGCTGAGGATCCACTCCAATTCTCGTAATGGCACCCCAAACACACCTCCCACCCACAGTTCGATCACCTGCACCGGAATGCACGGTACCGCAATGCAGTGCGTTCCATTGCAGTGCGACTTGGGTCACGACTTAATAGCCAAGGACAAATATGGGTCCTGAGGTTACACAGGTTGAGAACCACTGCATTAGATGAATGCCAGGATTAAAAAAAATATGGCCGGTAATTTGTGTCCCCCAATATTTTAATTTTTGACAGCAGAGTGCTGGAATATAACATGGGTGCAAAAATTGAAAAAAGGGCCTCAGTCATGAAGGGGTTAATCTGTTTCCGCCAGCCGTATACATATGTGTGGGCTTTAATGTTGTGATGCTAGGTATAGGACTACAGCCCGCACCACTGTTTTGTGCTACCAGTGTGTTTACTGGGCCCCAGCTCTGTGACCTCACTGTCACCAACAGCTCGCTGTCATTGTTTACCGTTAGTAGCTGGTTAGATGGACTCCGGATCACTGTGGCTGCCAATCAGAGTGATCACATGCAAGCCCAGAAAGTGCCTCCGTCATTCAGCACCCTTTAAATTCCTAGCAGGAGCAGGCGTAAGGGGTTAAAGTGTATTTTTTAGACTTGTTTTTATATCATTTTGGATAGAAAACCACTGTCAGATTTTTTTGTGTCATCCACTCTATTTGCCCTGGTGACCATGATGACGGGAAATTCAAAATGTTATAGCTGTCACCAGGAAAACCCAGCTGTCACGGGAAATCTTCCAGTGGGGACACCAGTGGTGACAGCGGTCTAAGAGGTCATTTCCTCCTCAGACAGATGGACAGATTTCCTCTAACTTCATGTTGTATCTCCAGGACAGGAAGTGAAGGAAAATCTACCCAATTAGATAGGGTAAAAAAAACTTGCCTGGGGTTCTAACTAGTGATGCACCGCTACCGATACTAGTACTCGCCCAAATGCTCCGATACCTAGCACGAGTACTTCCTGTATCAGGAAGCCGGGCAGCGCATCATTACACGCTGCCCGGTTTCCTGATTGGCCAGGAAACGGCTCCATGCTCTCTCGTCACTTGTCGGCCAATCAGGAAGCCGGGTAGCATGCAATGACCGATTGGTCAGGAAGCTAGCAAAGCCGGGCGCCGTGTAATGACGCAGCGCCCGGCATTCTGATTGGGCGGGAAGCCGGCGTCATGCTCCCTCGTCATCTCATGAATCATAATATTAAGAAAGTGACCTTAAAGCATTAGTTTGTATTGCTTTAGAAAAAATGTGACCTGTCTCTTTAAGAAAAAGTATCGGTAATTAGTATCTGCGAGTACTTGATCAAAAGTATCGGTACTTGTACTCGGTCTTAAAAAAGTGGTATCGGTGCATCCCTAGTTCTAACCCTTCCCTACTCTATCCGAAAAAAATAAAATGGCCATCAATGTACCCTAATGGAGATCTCCACTCGTCAGTAATGGTTGCATCATAAATACTAATTATGCCCCCCCCGTGAGGGAGCCTGCACTGCCTGAGTGAGCATCACCCCCTCTCTCTGTGTTCTATACAGGGAAGCTGTGACGTTATTTAAGGATTGATGTGAGCAGGACGCACTTAAGATCACATGTGTTCTGTGCTAACCGCAGCAGATAAGGATCAGTAAATGGCGTCCGGAAAGCAGTTAAAAGTTTTTGTTTACTCATAAAAGAAAATGGAAAAAAAGAAAAAATGTCTGGAAAGGAACTAAAAAAAAGAAAAGAGAAAACCACTTGAGAGGCTGTGTGATAATTACCTAGGCATGCAAGACACGGCAAGAGGGGAGAAATGTCTACTATTCTCTGTTGTGCAGATGTCAGCCCCATATCATTATACAACATCACCAGACCTTTCCATACCTACCTTATGCTTTTCTTCACAAATCATCAAATATTTTTGATTCCAGCCAGAGTAATGACCTGAAGTCTGACTGAATACTGAAGCCTCTGCAGAATTCCCTTGGACTGTTTACAGAATGGTGCCCAAAACTGGAGTCCAAATCACCTAGTTACATGGTTGATTGTTAGTCCATTGTCCATTTCATCCAAGTCCGTCATGTTCAAGCAAGCCCATTGAGTTTACCTAGGCCTACTGTGTTCCACCATGTCCATCGTGTTCAACCAAGTCTATCGCGTTCAACCAAGTCTATTGTGTTCAACCAAATCTATTTCATTCAACCATGTCCATTGTTTTCAACCAAGTCTATCATGTTCAGCCAAGTCCATCGTGTTCAAGCAAGTCCATTGTGTTCAACCAAATCTATCTCATTCAATCATGTCCATTGTGTTCAACCGAGTCCATCATGTTCAACCGAGTCCATCGTGTTCAACCGAGTCCATAGTGTTCAACCAAGTCCATCGTGTTCAACCAAGTCCATCGTGTTCAACTAAGTCCATCGTGTTCAACCAAGTCAATCGTGTTCAACCAAGTCCATCACGTTCTGCCAAGTCCATCACGTTCACCCAAGTCCATCACGTTCACCCAAGTCCACCGCGTAACACCATGTCCATCATGTTCAACCAAGTCCATCGAGCCTATCCATGCTTTTCTTCAGAAATCATCAAATATTTTTGATTCCAGCCAGAGTAATGACCTGAAGTCTGACTGAATACTGAAGCCTCTGCAGAATTCCCTTGGACTGTTTACAAAATGGTGCCCAAAACTGGAGTCCAAATCACGTAGTTACATAGTTAGGTTGATTGTTAGTCCATTTCAACCAAGTCCGTCATGTTCAAGCAAGCCCATTGAGTTACCTAGGTCTACTGTGTTCCACCATGTCCATCGCGTTCAACCAAGTCTATTGCGTTCAACCAAGTCCATTGTGTTCAACCAAATCTATCTCATTCAACAATGTCCATTGTGTTCAACCAAGTCTATCGTGTTCAACCAAGTCCATCGTGTTCAACCAAGTCCATCGTGTTCAACCAAGTCCATCGTGTTCAGCCAAGTCCATCGTGTTCAGCCAAGTCCATCGTGTTCAGCCAAGTCCATCGTGTTCGACCAAGTCCATCGTGTTCGACCGAGTCCATCGTGTTCGACCGAGTCCATCGTGTTCGACCGAGTCCATCGTGTTCAACCAAGTCTATCGCGTTCAACCAAGTCTATCGCGTTCAACCAAGTCCATCGTGTTCAACCGAGTCCATCATGTTCAACCGAGTCCATCATGTTCAACCGAGTCCATCATGTTCAACCGAGTCCATTATGTTAAACCAAGTCCATCGTGTTCAACCAAGTCCATCGTGTTCAACCAAGTCCATCATGTTCTGCCAAGTCCATCACGTTCACCCAAGTCCACGGCGTAACACCATGTCCATCATGTTCTGCCAAGTCCATCACGTTCAACCCAAGTCCACGGCGTAACACCATGTTCATCGCGTTCAACAAAGTCTATCGTCTTCAACCAAGTCTATCATGTTCTGTCAAGTCCATCATGTTAAACCAAGCCCATTGAGTTTACCCAAGTCCGCTGTGTTCAACCAAGTCCATCATGTTCAACCAAGTCCATCGTGCCTATCCAAGTCCATCGTGTTTAAGGAAGTCTGCTGTGTTCAACCAATTTTTTCGTTTTCACCCAAGTCCATCATGTTCACTCAAGTCCATCAAGTTTACCCAAGTCCATTGCGTTCAACCAATTCCGCTGTTTTCAACCATTTCCATCTCGTTCAGCTAGGTCTATCGAGTTCAACCTGGTACATCATGTTCAGCCAACAGAAAAACTTAAATAAAATGAAAACCTCCACACACTCGCAGTTGATCCAAAGGAAGTCAGAAAATACTTATAAAGCATGGTCCAATTGGTTCCATCCATCCTAGATCAACCATCTCTGGTGTTATTACTTATAATTGTAAGTAGCCAGTTATATTTTGTGCATTTAGAGACCTAAACCATCAGATGGTTTTATCTTCTTTTTTTTTTTTGTACATCCCAAAGTTTTGTGTGCAAAATGCCCCTGAACTTGATGGAAGATATGACTACTCCCGGAAGCGTCAGTTCCCTAACACAGCCCCTTCCCTCTTGCATGTCATAGCCCTCTCCTCTCTTGGCAGTGTCTGGTTATGACTGTGCTGGCCCAACTCTTCTGCCCCTCCCTTTACCTCTCTGCATAACCTTTTATGTAGTTGCTGAGGGAGGAGTAAAGGGTAACACTACAGAGTGTCACTTGAGTGACCTGCAGGGGCTGCTGACATCACTTCCAAGATGGCGGCACCCAGCAGGGTGGCATGGGATAGTTTTTTTATTTTCTATCTAGAGCGGAGATCAGCTTTAAGCCTGTAAGGGAGAAAAGTTTCAGAGTAACACAACATAAGTTGGCAGATTTTGTTTTGCTTGTTTGGGAGAACGCTCATGCGGTTGAGATCTGACCAGAAATATCTCTTCTGCTGAGAACATTCAATTATAAAACGGCGTCCGCGTCCGGCCTGATATATTGATTGCAGCCCCTCTACACGGGCGCGTCGTCCGCATTCCTCATCCACCTATCTACTGCAATCTCAGCACGTGTTGAGCAGGCAGAGTTTGTTTGCCCCGAGGTCTGGATCACCTGAGGCTGGAGTTTATGTTCCTCCTGAGAAATAAATTGAGCGCGTACGTGCGTGCGTTTTCTTTTTTAATAGTCTTTCTTCTTAGGTCTTGTTCTCGTGAACTCTCTTTAACCCTACGATATGGGAAAGGGCGGAGGATTTTTTATATAAGGTTCACATGGTAATGTCATTTCAAAAGTTGTGTTTCATTGTTTTCAGTTCTGCATCTTTTGTTAAAGTAACATCTGGTGATCCTGCTGTGAATGTCCTTGTTCAGGCACTTCCTGTTAAAGGGTGTCTCCTAATTGCGCACCTACGCTGTCACCCTGGGCAGTGAGCTCCGGATTGTGAGCGCTGGTGATGTCTTTTGAATCCAGTGCTGGTAACGTCTTCTCTTCTTCTCTAGTATCGCATGGCTGTTACTGTCACTATGAGCACCATTGTGCTAAACCGGTCATAACGCTGTATGGTGTGCACGCCAAAACCGTATCACTTAACTGCGTTGTCACCCAGTCACACACACCCTGGTGGGGGCTACAAGCGGCTATTTCAACACACATCATTACAGGACCTTATACAGCCACATGGGGTTTTGCATGCTGAAAATAAATGAATAAAAGAGGTGAAATACTTTTCTTTCTTGGATAAAATGGTTGCCGCTAGGGCTGGCCACATTACCAAAAGCCTAGGCGTTTGGTCACATGATTTCTGAACGCTGCTCCTCCCCTTCAGCAGAGTACATGCAAAGATTTAAGTTATGGCAGCAGTCCTGGAGGGAGGCTGGAGCAGTGTTTTCTCCAGGAAAGGCAAGCTGACCACACGCATTGTACAGTCTTCAGCTTTACAAGCAACCATCTATGTGTTCCTTAGATAGGCAAAATCATGAAGTAGATTGTATAACAAGATTGTAACGCGTGTGTGTGGTCAGCTGTTTCTCTACACCGAGTTCCCAATTTCTCCAGATGGCATCTTGCTGCAAAGACGCCCACAGATTGTGTACTGACTTAATATGCTGTTTATCCCACAGGGCAGAGCATGAACCCCAAGTTGGCGGGTCTGATCGGGATAAATGGACCACACAATAAGCAGCCCTTCATGGTGGCATTCTTCAAGGCCACTGAGATCCACCTGCGCAGCGTACGGTCCACCGGGGGAAAGCAGCGCAACCAAAACAGATCCAAAGCGGCAAAGAACCAGGACGCCCTGAGAGTGTCCAACGTCGCAGGTGAGAGTCATGGCTGTTATATCCAGGCGCTGTTAACAGGTCCTCCATTTTAGTTTAAAGCCCACTCTTAACCGTCTTCCCTAACACTTAACCTTCCCCCTAAATTTACATGTAGACTAAACACTAGAGGTACAAAAACAAGCATTTCATATATTCTTTAATAGCCACAATGGATATAAGTCCACTTTGTGTGCACCAAATGCCTTCGTTGCTGTGACATTATCACTGTATGGTACTTAGCCTGTGCAGAGCTGTGGGAGGGACCCAGCGGGCCTCACCCACTACACTTACTAAAAAGATCAAAACAAGACTAGGCATTCCCTTATATTCATTTACACTTATCTGTATGAGATAAAGTTACTTAGACAGTCCACACCCGCTACAGGAGGAGGCGGAGACAAGACAAGTCACCCTGCACAAGGAGAGAGAGCAGCAGTGACCGGTCTTTATAAAAGGAGGGTGGAGACAAGACCAGTCACCCTGAGACAAGACCAGTCACCCTGAGACAAGGCCAGTCACCCTGCACAAGGAGAGAGAGCAGCAGTGACCGGTCTTTATTACAGGAGGGGGCGGAGACCAGACCAGTCACCCTGCACAAGCAGAGAATAGCAGTGACCGGTCTTCCTACAGAAAATTCCTGCACAGAGAAAAAGTACAGGAGTAGTTTCACGCTGGATTACTGCACAGGTATGGCAAACAATTCACAAGGGATACCGAGATTCAAGTAAAAATAGTACACATAGCTCTTGTGTTATAGTGTATATATTTGTTTAGCTTCTGCTTTAAAGTGGACTTAGCATCAGAAAGGGGGTGGGGAAGTGACCTAGATGTGTTACTTAACCCCAGCAGAGAAAAGTCAGGTCACCGGTCTGGCTGTGTCAGTTTTTGGACAAAATGACAATTCCGTTGGCAGGTAAAAGAAGAAAAGCTCCCATGTAAGTTTAAGATGTATTTCCTTGTGTGGTTGGAGCTCAGCTTTTGTCCTCAGGAGGCTCAAGAAAGGATTGTGTGTAGGTGACGTGGGAGACCCCTTTAACATCATCCGCCATTGCTATGTCTCTCCAGAAAGCAGCAGCACAGACCAGAAGCAAGCCTGCAAGAAACACGAACTCTACGTCAGTTTCCGGGACCTGGGATGGCAGGTGAGACTACGCTTGTTATTATTGGTTACTGCACTTGGCTTCCAGTTATTACTGTTTTCGCTGCTTTCTTGGATCAGCCTCCTTCTGTATCATGTGACCGTGGTCTTGATGGGTTTTTTTATGCATTTTTTGTCTCCTTAGGATTGGATTATCGCTCCAGAGGGTTACGCTGCTTATTACTGTGAAGGTGAATGCAATTTCCCGCTAAATTCCTACATGAATGCAACAAACCACGCCATCGTTCAGACACTGGTAAGATCATCTGGGCTGCTGGTATTATGTGAGTGGGGATAGAAGGAAAGGGTTCTTTACTGTACAGGCAGTGCACTGTATTCCGTAGGAGCTGGTTCTTAGCCGACTCGGGAGATTGGTTGCCAAGAAGGGCTGGATGTGTTTTTAAATACACAACATATAGACAGTTGCTAATATTTAAAGCTGAATTCCGGGCAAACGGCTAAAAACCCAGATGAAGCGCATATAGGAGCTGTGACGGACAGTTTCATCTGAGAACTGGGCTCCTTCACAATAAAAGGACACCCCCCGCTTTTATAAGTGTGGGGTGGGAGCGTTCAGACTTCTCGGCACTCTGGGCAAGGGGGAATCTCAACGCCTGGTTTCAGAGTGTTATGACATAAGGCTGCAAACTGAAATTTGCTCCCAGGCTCTGATTATCCATTCTGCCAGAATCCCCTCCAAGGCAAGTGGATTTCTTCGCTGCCCTAGGTCAGCTCCTCTCTCAGGGGTCAGAGGCAGAAAGTTTTCAGGGGTTCTATTCCAACCTGTTCACCGTCCCCAAGGCCAAGGGGTAGGTTACCCAGTTTTTGGAGTTGAAGATCCCCATCAGGTTCCTGCAGGTCCAGAAGTTCCATATAGGAATTCACCCACGTTGTCTGTCCATTTTCTTTTCCTCTGTAGACATCAAGGATGCGTATTTATACTTCCCCAGTTTTCTGGCTAACCATCGCGTCCTGCATTTTGCTGTGGGCACCTAGAATTTCCAGTTTGTTGCTCTTTCTTTGGTCTGTCTTCAGCACCATGGGTTTTCACTAAGGTGATGCACCCTGTCTTGGCCAGGCTTCAGGGCAAGAGGATCCCCATAGTATGTTTAGACCACCTCATCCTCAGGTCAGTGTTCTATTGACCAATATCCAGCGTACGTTGTAGACCCTACAGAGCTTTGGATGGATCCTCACTCTCCCGAAATACACACTGGAGCCGTCCCATGGCTTGGAGCACCCGGGCTTAGTCTTGTACGGGAACTCCCTGCCTTCATTAGAGACACAGAAGATTTCTGACAGAAACTGCACATATATGATTTTTGAAGATGGAAGTTGGCCACAATGGACATCTCATCACTTTACCCAACTTGGCCAGTCTTGCAGCTGTCGAACATTTCCTTTTACTCAAAGGAAAACAAGATGTTCCCGCAGCTTCTTTGCTCTGTTGCCTTGAATTTGTCCTTGAAAACAATACGTTTACTTTTGAAGAACAAACAAATGCGAGGGATTGCCATGGGGAGTTTGGCCACGCCTTGTTTGCAAATCTCTTGGTAGGATATCTTAAAGATTGACATATATACAAATCTGCTCTCCTCATAAACCATGTGAAGGTATGGATGAGATATATAGATGACATCTTCATTTTTGGGACAGCGACACCCAGGCATTTTCCGTAATGGGTTATTCCCTGGCATTGTGTTTAATCCTGCTATATCTGAACATGAGAATGCTTTTCTTGATGTGCTCATCACAATACATGGTAACAAAGTTTCCACATCCGTATATACGAAGCCCACTGATAGAAACACACTCTTACATTATCAGACCTCCCTAGACCGGTATTGCACCCTGCTTCTTGGTTTCTGGCTTTGCCGGCATGTGACTTCACAGAAGAAGGAGGGTGCGGGTACCTTCGAGACCCGTCCTGATGTCGGGGAGTAGTTTCTGTGGCCTTTACGGGCTCCCCAACCTCGTCCCACCTGGGGTCTCTCTTTGGGGGAGCCCCTACCCTGTACTCGGGGGAGCTGTTTTGGCAGGTCCCTGAGGAGAGGGGTCTGCTGGCCTTCGGGTAGGTGGACCTAAGTCGTCCTTGCCCCTGTCAGGAGCCTTTTCCCCCGGGGGGTTCAGAAAATCGAGGCACTTCCTCATTGGAGGAGGTCTAAAGCACCCTTGTGCACTTTTTTTTTAGTGTATTGTGATTTCACGGTTCACTTTTTTTGTTCGCAGGGGTGAAGTTTGCCTTCAATGAACGCGTCACGGACCTTTAAAAAAAAAAGTAGTGGGCAAAACTCTTCAGAGACGGGAGTTTGCTGGAATGTCCTCAATATTGCTGGAACAATAAAGTTGTTTTTATGCATAATGAAAGAGCATTGTACAGATTCCTATTATGGTACGAGGAGTGCATGCTGTGTAACTAAACTTTGGTCCTCCATCTGTTGTGGAACTACGAATCCCATTAGCCATTGAAGACTCTGACAGCCACAGGCATGACTCCCGGAGGCAGTTATATGATGGGATTTGTCATTTCCCCACAGCTGGTCGGCCGGAGTTTGCCTAAACCTGGTGTAACTGAACATTCTTGATAATACTTTATTATTTCTCCTTCTTAGGTTCATTTTATCAACCCAGACACCGTCCCGAAGCCTTGCTGCGCCCCCACTCAGCTCACAGCCATCTCCGTCCTTTACTTCGATGACAGCTCCAACGTCATCCTCAAGAAATACAGGAACATGGTAGTGAGGACCTGCGGATGTCATTAAAAGCATTCGCCTACGGCGGCCATTTTAAAGCCTCGGCTGCAGCCGGCGCCGTTATGTGCGATCAGACATGCCGGACCAGACATCCTCTCGAGGTCAGAACTTTAACTTGTATCATTCCACAACCAAAAGAACATCTGTGTTCAACCTCACAGCCTGGCTCCTGGTTCATACCCAATAACCCTGGCCCTGCCCTGTCTCACACGGGAGGTCAATGAGGGCCACAAAAGTAAACTGCACCTGCTTAGAAGGCTTGTGTCACTCCAGTCGACGTGGATGTAACTGACAATGAGCGGCTCTTTTTTTCCTATAGCCATCCTGCTTACCGCCTCTAGATTAGTCTGGAATGTCGCCGTCCCTCTTATCATTGTTGGTTCAGATCTGCGCGGAGATCAGAAATGCCCTGCTGACATAACCGAGAGGGCGCTTGGTCCAGAGCAAAGGATTCTGGGCAAACGGAATCTCAACCAATGAAAACAGAGCCGCTCTGTTCATTGTGGCATATTTGTAATCTGTTTATTGAGATCTGGACGAGCGAGGCTCGCGGCCTTCAAGGTGTCTGGCCAAAAGGAACAAAATGGAGTCACTCGGATTATAATTATACTGTTGCTTCATAAGGAGCGGCCACCCTCTATCCCCAATCCAATGGACCGGCACGGAGTTACCCGTGAAACATACGGCTGACCTCGCGGAACGATCTAGAGAAAGCGCTAGATGATTATTTTGATAAGGTTGATTTGTTTTTTTGTTTGGTTTTGTCAGAAGTCACAAAATGTTATTTTTTTTTGGGCAAAATTCTGTGGCGAAATAAATCAGTTTTGTTAATACCACAAAAGACGCATATGGAGTTCAATGGATGCATCTCAATAACCAAAACGGGTTGTAGTAGCCAGAAAGGGTTTTTTTGAGGGGGGGGTGAAGGGGTTAGGTCAACCAAAATCAAGTTTCTCCATCCTCCATGGAGGGACACTGGAATTCAGAAAGATAGTTACATAGTTTGTCAGGTTGAAAAGAGACACAAGTCCATCGAGTTCAACCTATACAGTTGGGTTATACTGCCACCTACTTGAGGTTGGGACACTGGCAAATAGGAAAACTGTGGGGTGGCCCCAGTATAACCCCTCCTCTACCCAGTATATCCCAGTTTTCTGCTAGTGTCTTAGGAGGTTGAACACATTTTCTTTAGCTCTACTGGAAAAAGTATTTCCAGCTCACGTGGCTTAGATCTTTAGATCTGTCAGTGACTATTGCCCACCCCTCGCTTGGACATCCCAACTGTTTATGAATTTCTGTGTCCTCCATTAGACGATGGAAAAAATACACTTTTTGTACTCACTGTGAAATCTTTTACTTCTAGTCCATTGTGAGACACAGGTCCCACCCCTCTGTATTTCTCGCTGTCCCTGTGTATTGCTTCCTTGCAAAACTGAGGCATTCTGGGTAGAGGAGGGGTTATACAGGGGCTGGCTTACAATTCTCCTTTTTGCCAGTGTCCCAACCGCCTGTGGGTGGCAGTATATCCCAACTGTTTCTGAATTCCTGTGTCTCTCGATGGACTGGGAAGAAAAAGATGTTATGATAAGTGCAAAAATCCTCTAATTTCACCTTTTGGATGGATATTGTTTAGCTGAATTGCCCACCGGCTTACTATCCTTACTGGTGAGGCCTCTGCACCTAAATTGGGAATTGTCTCTCTCTACTGGGTCTCTATAAGGGTGATGTCACCTGTGGGGTCACTGAAAGCTATAAGAAGCCGATGAGTAATTGTATCTACCAATGTCCACAGTTTTGGGTGGAATGGCCCAATAAAGTGAATCTGTGCTTTGACGTCCACACATAAACCGATTCCTTTTGGTTCCCTGCCACTCTGTTCTGCTCTATGTAAGCTTCAAGCTGTAAGGTGAGTGGCCCAATGCGGTCACATGGAGTGAGTCACGTGCTTCTCCGTACCGGTAACTATAAGGTATTTCCTGGCAGGAGAAGGGAGGTAAAGGTAAGTGTGCCCTGCTGGTGATGGGAGGGTTAAAACAAACCTGACTGGCCCTGCCCCTTTCATTCATTGGATTTCAGTTTTTTCAATCACAGGGGCTCAGCATCACATGTGGCCATTACCTAGGACAGTCTGCATGCAAATGCTGTCTTCTTAGGAACAACCGCTCCTTCAAACTGACATCCACCTAGCAAAATTTGCATAACTCCTCCGAAGAGCCAGCCCACTGCTTGCATCAGGCTTGAGGGCTCTTGATAGGAATACTGAGGCAGATTGGTGTGATGTTTTCAGGAAGCTATATACAGCCCCCTCCCACCAGCCATGATCTGCCTTGCATTGCACGAGAACCACCGAAACCCAGCGATGTAGGGTTGCCACCTGTCCAGAATTCACCCAGACAGTTCGGGTTTGGCATCTTGTGTCTGGTTTTCAGGCCAGCTGAGCCCCAGACACATGGTGTCGCAATTTCAGGCAGACAGGGGCAACCCCAGGGTCCTGGGGATGAATGCATGAAGGAGGGCCCTATGCTTTGTGGGTACAATCCCGGCAGAGCTTTTCTTGCTCTTTCTCCTGGCTTCCTTTCCCCGCGCTCTCCTCTATATTCTCCAAAAAAACATTGCCGCACACAGCGCTTGAGTGTTCGGGTTGCACTTGAAGAAAAGGTGGCAACCCTACAGTGATGACATCACAAAAATAAGGTATGTGATGAAAACAGAAAGGTTTTATATACAAATGAATTAGCATATTGATGAGGGGGGCGGGGGGCGAAACCAGGGAGGGCAAAAGCTTCCCCCTCACTGTCTGTCAATAGGACAGAAAGTGAGAGCGATAGCAGAGGGAGAACCTGACAAGGAATCAAATCCTTATCTACCGTGTGTGTCAAAGTAAAACATTGTGGATGGGGTTTCTCTTCAAGGTGACTTTAGTTCCCATCTTGTGTTTGACCCGGGGCCCCTCTGTACTGAGCGAGGGAAGCACAGGGGAATCTTGTGAACACTCTCTTTACACTTGCTACCAGTGACGTGAGTTACGGGGGATTTAAGAACACTTTGTGACCTGCCCTGGTCCCCCTCAGACGCCATTTACCCACCTCTAGCCTAATCCCTCGGCCCACCAGACCCCGGCAAATAATGATTGATGACGCGGGAAAGGTGACTCTTAAAACATGAGCCGCCCCTCGACCTCTCAAATCCGCACCAGATGTTTTACTAAAGTCTCTGGCAAGAGGAATTTCAAGGGTGACCCCGGAGCACCAGCCTATGGCAGAGCCGGGTGAACGTCAAGTGTGTTTAGTCTTTTTTTCACTAAATGTTGGGGTTTAATAAGGAGTTGCGCTAATATTGCGCAACATAAAAATTTGCAACTACCACCATTTTATTCTATAGGGTCTTGGCATTCAGAAAATATATAATGTTGGGGGGTTTTAAGTCATTTTCAGGCCTAAAATGTGGAATATAACATGGGTGCAAAAAATGAAAAAAGGGCCTCAGTCATGAAGGGGTTAAGGGCCCATTAAGAGCTATGTGTGTGTGTAGAGGTGCACTTTTTTTTTTGCTCTGGGCAGGTACATTGTCATGCATCATCATGCGTTATTAAAAAGGCATTTCTTTTGCATTTTAACATTTGGAGTGGATAGGGTTGACAACCATTGACCAAGGCTTGTTAATACAAGATGTCAACGCACTTATTTGCATGTTCTATTTGTTCTGTTGTGTTGCCATTGACTTCTATTGGCCTCCCAACACATTAAATGCCAAAAAAAACAAACATATTTTTCTGATCACACTACAGAACAGAAATGGGAACAGGTGCTCTTTATATTATGGGGAAGTTGGACGCATGTATTTTGCATCGTGTGCATTAGAATGCAGCAGTGTAAATGGGCCCTTAGTCGTACGGTCGTCACTGGAAGAGGATTTTTGGGGTAATTTCCTTGCGTTTGGATGCATCTTCTTTAACTGTCTGTTGTGTGTCTGGGCCAGGACGTGAGGGCGAACTTCCCCCCTGGGAGCCAGGGAGATTGAGTCGAAAGAGAGAGTGAAGGTCCGCTTTTAAGACCGCCATACTTGGCTTAATTTGTCTCAGCTCAGCCCCAGCCAGTGTATTCAGGTAGCCATGGGCGGCTATCGCATTCAGCACCCATGGCTACCTGAATACACTGGCGCTGCCGAACAGTGACTGTACCCGTATCGGTCGCAGTTTGGTCCAAAACGTTCCACTTGGTGGCCAACAGGGCCACCAATGGCTCAAATTTCAGCCAATTCAGTGGGAATCACATCCAATTTGGGCCTACCTTGATGACGTAGTTTTGGACTTGCCGATTGGCAACATGGCAATGTCATGCCGATAGCTTTCAGTCCGTTATTAGTGACAGAATCCTCTTCCAGATAAGACAAATGGAGTCTCCGAATAAGAGACCATCCCTGAGCTTCTTCCTTGGAGAGGTTTTGACAATTCCTGACCAGTCTTGGAGCCCCCATTGGGCCCTTTTTTTGACCCGGCTCTGTGTAAAGGGCTGTAGCTGGGAGCTGACAGGCACTCTACACGGTGTTTATCCTTACGCGGGCTGAGTTACAGATGTCACCAGCTGTTGGAGGGAGCGGAGAGAGGGGGATAAATGAGATTTGTTTACTGCACAAATATTTCTGCGATACAGTCACCGCAATAAAAGGCGACCGGCTACAGGGAAATGTCCTGATATGGGCCACACACGGAGGGTCATTATGAGTGCAGATCCACCTGGACCCTCGACGAATAGCCAAAACACGTGCGCTCCAGACTTTTATGAACTTATTAATAGAGTGCTGGGGATGTTTTTCTTTTGTTTTTTTTAAAGGAAAACAATTTGGTTTAATGGAAACAAAAAAAAATCAGCCTCTTCCTCTCCTTAAAGTGAACCAGCAGCGTTTTGACATGAAGGGCAATGTGACAGGTTCCCTTTCCTGAAACTCCACTGCAATATGGCAGCACACAAAGCGAATCATTAGCCGCAGCCAGTTTTGTATGTGTCCAGAAACGGTGTCTCTGGATGCAAATTGACTGTGTGCGGGGCAGGTCAGAGTCCCTAATCACCAATAACCAGGGGTGTATCTACTGCAAGGCAAACTAGGAATTTGCCTAGGTCGGCACTTTCCAGGGGGGGCGCCAAAAAATGCTGCCCCCAAACCAGTTAGGAAAGAGAAAACATGTTTT